TGCGTGACGACGCATAAGTTGTTGATGAATTGATTTGTTGTTGATATGAGTTGTATATTTATTGTTGTGTTGTTAAGCTGTGATTGTGTTGTATGTTGATCTTGTTGAGGATGATGATAGTGTTGTTATGTTGTAAGTTGAAATGATGTTAAGAAGTATAGTATATATGTTGTTTGTCTCATGTGTTGAATGCGAACATGATTATATAGTTGTTATGTTGCATATTAAATTATTATGAGTTATTTATTGTCTCTAGCTTACCCTTGCATGTTTCCATGTGGTTTGGACTGCGATGATCATACGTTGTATGAGAGCAGGGCAAGGATAGACTGGAGATAGCTGCTAGAGGCCACAGGAGGTGCTTGAAGATGAATATTTTTTTTCGTAGGCTACCTTACAGTAGCATATTTTGTTGTATATAACTGGTTGATGTTGGTTGCTTGATTAGCAACTTGTGTTGTAAATATTCTATCATACTATTATATATATATATAGTAAAAATATTTTTTTATACTCTTTTAATATATATATATATATTTCAGTAGTGTGTAGTGTTGTTCGTAGTATGACGGTCATGACGGGTCTTTACATTTATAACCCAAGGAGGAGGAAATTAAAGAACGAGAATTAAAAAACAAAATTTCTAAACCTCTGTTAAAGAAATATAGCGATAAATTTAACCTACTCTATTTGTTAAAATTTTAGTGTGGGTTTGAATTAGTTGTAAAAACATATATTATATCCGATAATTAATCATAAATATAATTGATTATATAAAATATTTTTTCATATATTTTGATGGGTTGGATAAAATGTATTTTAAAAATGATCTACCAGGCTAGCTGTCTAAATTAAGATATGGAATTATTTGTAGTCGTCTCTTAAACTAATTAAGTATTAGAGATAAAATCAGAAAATAATTAATTGGTTTAATAATTTTTAATTCACTTTTTAATTAATGCTCTTGAGATATTAATTGGCATTGTTTTTTTACATTTTTTTTAATGTTAAGTGTGTGTCTGCATAATGTTTAGTCTAATGTCTTGGATGAATTATTGAATAATAATAAATCATACCACTAGCTAGTTGTATTTTACCTACTTTATAGTAGAAAGTATATATATAATAAATTTATATCTATTTTAAAGGTGATCATTTTAGTAACTACTTTATTTTGTTTACATTTTAAATTGGACACTTTTATTCTTAAATAAAAACTTTTTAAAATTACTCACGTCCATAATAAAAAATAAAAATAAAAATTGTCAACTCATTAATCAATATGGTAACTTATTTTCAAATTTTAATATTTTTTTCTATAATCATAACCCTTAAAAATAAATATAAAGAGACATAAAATATTTTTTTTCCACTATACCACTAATAATAATAATAATATAAAGCCAACAAGACATGATATATTTATGATAAAGTATTTCGTTCACACTACCTAGCACCACTTAACTAGGGCTTGACATCACCGAGTTAAAGAGCTTCAAGAGCATCCATGCTTGACCCCATTCAACTCATGCCCGACGAGCATGACCAAGTAAGAGAGTTCTTCTCTAATTAACTCTCCCTCGACACTATCAATCTCATGCTTAGTGTTAATGAGGCAGAGAGCCTCTGATCTACATCACGCTCGACATCATGAAGTTACGCTAGACACGATGGTAAATTATGCACTTGGCGGAATCATGAATGTGACTCCCTTCACTTGAAAATCAAAAGATACCAACATGCAATGATAAAAACTACATTTACTCATCATAAACAACTCAATTCCAACCAAAAACACAACATGCAACCAACAATTGATTAGAATCATCAAATTCACCTCAATATGCTTTAAGAACACGAAAACTCACAACATAATAATTTCCTCTTGATCATCACCACAACCATAAATCTAGTGAAAACCAAGCAACATACAACTCTATAATCCATCAAGTATTAAAGTTCTAACTTCTATTACCTTCAAATCACTTAGAATCAGGGGTAGAAGAACAAAACTATATTCTCTGATGAGTTTTGCACAACACTCCAAAAATTTGATTCGAAACTTTCCAAGCTTGAACCTCTACACAACAACTCAACTATCTTTGGAAGAATGATCCTAGACAACTATAGTGGAATCAAAAAAGGAGGGAAGTCTTTTAGCTCCAGAGCTCTTCTCTCTAAGTTTTCTTATGAAAAGAACTTATAAAATTCAAGTATTAAAAAAAATCTTATATATCCAATCCAAACTGGTCAACTTGACATATACTCAAAGTAACTCCTAAACAACAAAATCATTAAGATTTCTAAATCCTTAGAATTTTAAAACAACTAAATAGTTAATTGCAACAATATATAAATTAATAAAATCAATAATTAGTAATAAAAATCCACGGTGTTACATCTTTAAATAAAAGATATACATAATATAAAATGGTGTTAATAATCTGCTACTAAAACAAAATGGTGTTAATAATCGTATATTTTTTCATCCATAGTCAATAACCATATATTTTTTAGTGAAAATTAGTTTATAATTAATTAATTAAAAGTTATTATAGTATTATGTCTTTTTATAAAATATAATCTTATCATGTATTTTTTTTATTAAAAAATAATGTAAAATTATTTTATATCGTTGGTATATAACCTTTTTTTAGAGGAATAACCTATTTATTTTATCGTATATAAATTAATTATTTTTAGGGTTCACCATCTAACAAATATGCATGTGAGCGTCAAATGAAATTATTTCTACAAAAGTTACGTAAGCAAATTAAGAAAAGGTGGTGCTATGCTATATATATAGTTTCAGAGTCAACTTTATGTATTTGCATATAACTGTATAGACACCATTCACGCGTTTTTTTTTATTATCTTAATCTAATTCTTTTGAGCATTAAATCAATATATATATATATATATATATATATAAGTTTCACGTTGAACCTGGAAATTTCAATACAACCGATTTTCAAATTGTTTTCTTTTTTATTTGATTTGGTATACGTACATAAAATTCCTAATTATGAATCCATCAAATATAGTATATATATTCTGTTAATCTAAAAAGTTAATTATGAAATGAAACTTAGAAATCTTTTAGCATAATATTAAAGACCAAAATTTGTATGTAAATTGAATAATATATAAGCTTCCGCGTATCCACCGACTTCAATTCTTATATGGCAAAGAAAAAACATTCTATTCTCCATTGAACATGAACAAGTTAAGTTATAAATTATATATTTACGAAGCATCACATGATACTAAGAATTCATATGGTTTATTAAGATCTTGTATTCAAGTAAAACAAATAAAATAAACACGATATTCTTAAATAAATATTAGATTATGAAAACCCATCATTGAAGGTGTCGACTTCTCTATCCACCTTCGACGAAGAGATCTTGAATATCATTAAACAATTTTATTAAGCAATCACTTTCTTATGGAATCTTCTTCTATCTTATTGCAAAGAATTCATAATTACGTAGTTTTATTTATACATTAAAATCTTTGAGCAATGTCCACACAATTTCGTGCATAAAAGATTCAGATGTGCATAAAATAAATCATGCGTAAAGTTTACTGTTCTTTGGTTCAAATTTATTGTCTTGTTTTTGTCTCATTCAACTTTTTTTCCCCAATTGAATCAAGATAAGTTAACACTAAAATTTTCTTTTAAGTGACGATATTTTTCTAATTAATTAGAAAGTACGTAACTATTTTAACGAAAAAGTTCAAAACAGAGCTTTCATAAAATTAAGTTAGAATAAACATTAGTTTTATTTTTAAAACTGATGCTTTATGTAGATTTGATTCACACAAAAAATTCATGTATAATTTATTAGCTTGCAATTTTATCAACTTTATAAAAATTAGTAAGTTTAAAGACTAAATTTGTCATAAAATTAATGAATCTAAAGACTAAATTATCATAAAGTATATCAATTTAAAGATTATATTTTTCTATTAATAAGAAATATAATGAGGATAACATAATTTAAATATAAAACTATGTATATATTATCTTATCCTCTACTTATATATTGACTCTTACGGTTAAGTTAATATACAACGGCTAATTTCTCATAAAATTGAGAAATTTGGTGATTCAATGATATATACACAGACTTTTAGAAATTAAATCAACACATCAACGATGTATTTATTCTAAAAATTAATTTGGTTACATTATCAGAGTCAATAAATAAAAAATAATCACAAATATAAATTTTTGTTATATAAAAAAGAAATCTTAACATATGTAAAAATCTATAAGTTATATATGTTTAAAACTATCTGTTTATACAAATTTTATATATAATTTATATATTTAAACATAATATTTATTTTTATATAAAATTTATTAAATTTTAGTTACATATAATATATATTTAGCCTAACTAAAATACTAGTAAATAACTATTAAAAAAACCTCTACATCGTGATTGTATTTTAATTAAGCTCAAAGTTAATTAAATAAACTTGTATATCAACCTCTCTGCATTAAAATCCGAATTCCTAGAATATTTTCAAGATTTATTTCGTTTTTCATTAAACCATGTTTCCTTTTTATATTAAGTATTTGAATTAATTTTTAATAATAATTAATCTTCCTTTCAAATACTAAAAATTATCGAACGAACACGTAGGTAGATCAGTTAACGAATGATTATTTCGGTTTAATTAATAATTTAGCGTGATTGATTATATACAAAACAAAAATACTAGAACTTTAATGTAAACGTTAAATTGATAATATTAAAAGAATGTATTTGGTTACATAAAGTTAATGAAATCGTAATTAAAGTTATAAGCAGAAACAAAAAAGGTATTGGCGTGTATGAGAATTGTTGGTCTTATTCCTTAGTAGAAAGCGTGTGTCACCACCGAGTCTACATCCCAACCCAAAGCCTTTTGTTTTACCCGTTCTTCCCTTTTGACGGTTATACCTGTTTTCATATTTTCTTCAAATCTTCAATGGTCAATATTCAAATCCTCACTCCTACCATGCAAAACCACATTCAATTCTCTCTCTTCGTTTTGAATGCTTCCGTCTTAGAATAATATTTTCTTCAGGGTCTAACTTTGAACACACTTCATGTGTATGAAACCAAGGACCCTCTTCTTATATAACACATGAGACATGACATATCTATGTTTCTCTATAAATATATGTTGTACAAGAACAAACCCTCTTGAACAAGGCCCTTCTATATATTTCTTATCACAATTCATTCACCCTTACAATTACAACAACAGTTTTATTGGTTTCTTTGCATATGCTAGAGATGGTGTTGGGATGGAGAAGAAGGAAGGGCAACAAAGGTGGGAAGCCCAAGATGGAGTTGGTGATTCCAAACCACTTCAGGTGTCCAATTTCTCTTGATTTGATGAAGGATCCTGTGACATTGTCAACTGGCATCACATATGATAGAGAGAGTGTGGAGAGGTGGTTTCATGAAGGGAACATCACTTGTCCAGTTACCAACCAAGTTGTGAGGAACTTTGACATGATTCCAAATCATTCCCTCAGGATCATGATTCAAGATTGGTGTGTGGAGAATAGGCAACATGGTGTGGAGAGAATTCCAACTCCAAGGATACCAGTTACCCCAATTGAGGTTGCTGATCTTCTCATGCAGGTGAAGGCCTCATCAAGGGGTTTGGACCAACATGGTTGCCTTGAGTTGGTGCACAAAATGGAGAAATGGGGTGGTGAGAGTGAGAGGAACAAGAGGTGCATAGTGGACAATGGTGCACCTGTGACCCTAGCTTGTGCCTTTGATGCCTTTGCAAATGACTCAGTGGAGAGGAATGTGGTGGTTCTTGAGGAGATTCTGTCATCACTCAATTGGATGTTTCCACTTCAATTGGAGGCACACAAGTGTTTGGGGTCCTTGGCTTCTTTGAGATGCATGGTTTGGTTCTTGAAGCACCAAGATCTCTCAGGGAAA